GCCAATCAATGTCCTGAATTTTTGGCACTTATTTATTTGGCATTTTTCTGCATAGCACATATGCACTTTACTCACCTCTGATTAGTAGGTCCTCAGACTTGCCCTGAAAGTCTTGGTGAGAGGTCATGGTCAGGTTCTCCTGCTCCCATGAGGTCTCCTTTCAGAGAAGCCCCACCTAGCATATGGGTGGACTTTGCCTCAGAAGGTCCACTGAAGAACTGGGTTTCAGCCAGATGGACTATGGAAGGACCCCATCCCTCATCAGCAGTCTTGGACCCTGGCGGGAACAATGCCAGGGTCCTTTCTCTTGTGGACCATGGAGGTGGACCATGTATACACTCTACGTCGTTCTTTGTGTTCTTCACTTTTTGTGTGCTCACTTTTTTATTGCACCTGGAGTTAGTTTCGAGTGTGCACACTGCACCACAGACAGTGGTATATTTAGGGTTTGTGATGCCCTAGGCAACACAAAAATTGTCTGCCCTCACGGACACCGACCAACACCCCCCCCTTCCCCCTCCCACAGAGAGAGCCAGACACCAACCAACACCTTCCCCCTCCCACGGAGAGAGCCAGACACCGACCAACACCACCACCCCTTCCCATGGAGAGAGCCTGACACCGACCTACACCTTCCCCCTCCCACGGAGAGAGCCAGACACCGACCAACACCTTACCCTTCCCACGGAGAGAGCCTGACACTGACCTACACCTTCCCCCTCCCACGGAGAGAGCCTGACACCGACCAACACCACCACCCCTTCCCCCTCCCATGGAGAGAGCCAGACACTGACCAACACCACCACCCCTTCCCCCTCCCACGGAGAGAGCCTGACACTGACCAACACCACCACTCCTTCCACAGAGAGAGCCTGACACCGACCAACACCACCACTCCTTCCACAGAGAGAGCCTGACACCGACCAACACCACACCCCCCTTCCCCCTCCCACAGAGAGAGCCTGAAACTGACCAACACCATCACCCCTTCCCCCTCCCACGGAGAGAGCCAGACACCTACCAACACCACCACCCCTTCCCCCTGCCACGGTGAGAGCCAGACACCTACCAACACCACCACCCCTTCCCCCTACCACGGAGAGAGCCTGACACCTACCAACACCACCACCCCTTCCCCCTCCCACAGAGAGAGCCAGACACCTACCAACACCACCACCCCTTCCCCCTCCCAAGGAGAGAGCCTGACACTGACCAACACCTTACCCCTCCCACGGAGAGAGCCAGACACCTACCAACACCACCACCCCTTCCCCCTCCCACGGAGAGAGCCAGACACCTACCAACACCACCACCCCTTCCCCCTCCCACGGAGAGAGCCTGACACCTACCAACACCACACCCCCCTTCCCTCCCACGGAGAGAGCCTGACACCTACCAACACCACACCCCCCTTCCCCTCCCACGGAGAGAGCCAGACACCTACCAACACCACCACCCCTTCCCCCTCCCAAGGAGAGAGCCTGACACTGACCAACATCTTCCCCCTCCCACGGAGAGAGCCTGACACCTACCAACACCACACCCCCCTTCCCCTCCCACGGAGAGAGCCTGACACCGACCAACAACACCACCTCTTCCCCCTCCCACGGAGAGAGCCTGACACTGACCAACACCACCACCCCTTCCCCCTCCCAAGGAGAGAGCCTGACAGTGACCAACACCTTCCCTCTCCCATGGAGAGAGCCTGACACTGACCAACACCACCCCCCATTCCCCTTTCCACGGAGAGAGCCTGACACTGACCAACACCTTCCCCCTCCCACGGAGAGAGCCTGACACTGACCAACACCTTCCCCCTCCCACGGAGAGAGCCTGATACTGACCAACACCAGCCCCCCTTCCCCTCCCATGGAGAGAGCCTGACATTGACCAACAGCACCCCTGCCCCCCACCTGGGAGAGCCTTCCACTACCCCTCCCGGTGATAGAGAGAAAGACACTCATCTTTACAGCTCCGGACATCCCCGGGAACGAGAGTCAAGTTCTACATACACCATCAAGAAGCCTGCAACCTCTCTTGGATCCCACCTGGATCCCGTGGTGCACGTGTCCTTCTTTCATCCCTTCTTCTGGGGGGAGGTTCTGCCCCCCTGAAAAATGCCTCCCTAGGCAAGTGCCTTGTTGGCCTCGTGGTAAATACACCCCTGGCCACAGAGCTTAAAAATACCCAAAATCCATTCTTCCTTGAAAAGTATCTAAACTTTCATGAAGATTAGTAATGGACCTACAGCTCTATGGAACATCTGAGGTCCATCCGCCACGTCTTGATTCATGGACCAACCAGAAGCTCATATTTTGATGGAGAACTTTCCCTGACGTAGTGTGATATTTGGGTTTTTTTCTGTTGTTATTCATACATTGCCACTTCCCACATCAACCCTTCACAAGCTGGAGGAGACCCAGCAGAGCTCTAGCAGGGAAATCAGATAAGTCCAACCAAATGAGAAGCCATTATCTCTCCAATCTGTATAAATGGGCTCCATGGTGTGACCGGCCGCGCCGTGACCGACATAAAAACAGCCAAAGCAATACAAAGCGCGGGGTCCAGCTAAAACATTTGGTGAGAACGTTTATGAAGGCAATATGCACAAGCGTGGATTCCAAGAGCTTCGCGGCCAAATCGACCAAATGCTTCCAGACCTCCAGCTCGGTCACATCTCATTCTGCCCCGTCTCTGAATACAGATTCTGAGAACGGAACGTTGGATGATCTGAAACTCCTCCAAAAGAGAAACGAAGAAGAGAAAGACAAGGAGGTAATAAATCCCTCCATCTGAGGGTAGAAGGTGAGCGCACGTGTGCAGAGGGACAACGGGGACAATGTAGAGTGAAAATGCACCTAGTGCTCTTCAGGGTGGTCCGGAGAGTCCTACAGAGTGTTTGCTGGATCCCTGCATGGAGTATGGTGGAAGGTGAAGTTAGCAGAAGCGTCTGCATGGAAGGAGATGCCGGAACACTAAATCCTCAGAAGGTAGGTACAGTACTTTCACTTCCAATACCTGGGACCTCCAGGACCTCCAGGACACCTATTTGTGCACCAGCGTGTGTTAGGCCCCATCAGCACTTGTTAGCATGCATTAGTGCGCATTGACGACGTTGGGCATGTTCTCTGGCCTGGAGGGTATTTCAGCATCAGTCCTGGAAGTATCACCAGCTACCCCAGAGCCAGACTTCTATCATTCTAAACCTGCTGTTGCCGACCCAGACAGCCTGACCGACCTACTCTTCTGTTTGTAGCCCGACTCGACTTGAGCCTGGACCTGTTGCCGCCTGCCTACACCTCTTCCTGGACCTGACTACTCTCTTTCCTGCTGCCTGCCTCTACCTGAACTAGGCTACTCTCTTCCCTCCTGCCTGCCTCGCCTCCTGCCTGCTGTGACTACTTTCTTGCCTGCTGCCTGCCTCTACCTGAACTAGACTACTCGCTTCCCTACCTGTCTCAACGTCTGCCTGGACCTGACTACTTTCTTTCCTGCTGCCTGCCTTTGCCTGGCCCTGACTACTCTCTTTCCTGCTGCCTACCTCTGCCTCTGCCTGGACCAGACGATCCTCTTGCCTGGACCTGACTATCCTCTTGCCTGCTGCCTACCTCCACCTCTGCCTGGACCCGACTACTCTCTTGCCTGCCTCTGCCTGAACCTGACCACTCTTTTGTATGCCGCCTGCCTACACCACTGCCTGGACCGGACTACTCTCTTTCCTGCTGCCTGCCTCTACCTGAACTAGGCTTCTCTCTTCCCTCCCGCCCGCCCTGCCCCCTTCCTGGTACCCTTCCTGGTTGTGACTACTCTCCTGCCTGTTGCCTGCCTCTACCTGAACTAGGCTACTCTCTTCCCTCCTACCCGCCTCGCCCTCCTGCCTGCCTCTACCTGAACTAGACTACTAGCTTCCCTCCTACCCGCCTCGCCCTCCTGCCTGCCTCTACCTGAACTAGACTACTAGCTTCCCTCCTACCTGTCTCAACCTCTGCCTGGACCTGACTACTCTCTTTCCTGCTGCCTGCCTCTACCTGAACCAGGCTTCTCTCTTCCCTCCTGCCCGCCCTGCCCCCTGCCTGGCTGTGACTACTCTCCTGCCTGCCTGCCTGCTGCCTGAACTAGGCTACTCTCTTCCCTCCTACCTGTCTCAACCTTTGCCTGGCCCTGACTACTCTCTTGCCTGCCACCTGCCTCCACCTCTGCCTGGACCCGCCTACTCTCTTACGTCGCTGCGTTACTTTCACTGACAATTGCGCGGTCGTGCAACGCTACACCCAAATGAAATTTACGTCCTTTTTCCCCCCAGGAATAGAGCTTTCTTGTGGTATTTGATCTCCCGTGCAGTTTTTATTTCTTGCGCTATAAACAAAAAAATTCATAAATTTTGAGAAAAAAAATATTTTTGACTTTTTGCTATTAACCCCTCGCCCTCCAGAGGATTCTCTCCCCTTCCTGACCAGGCCATTTTTTGCGATACGGCGCTGCATTACTTTCACTGACAATTGCGCGGTCATGCAACACAGCACCCAAATGAAGTTTAGGTCCTTTTTTTCCCACAAATAAAGTTTTCTTTCGGTGGTATTAGATAATTTGTGCGGTTTTTATTTTTTGCACTATAAACAAAAAATTTTGAGATAAAAACTATATTTTTGCATTACTTTCACTGACAGTTGCGCGGTCGTGCAACGCTGTACCCAAATGAAATTTATGTCCTTTTTTCCACACGAATCGAGCTTTCTTTTCATGGTATTTCTCTCTGCGGTTTTTATTTTTTTGCGCTATAAACAAAAAGTGACCGACAATTTGGAGAAAAAAACTATATTTTTGACTTTTTGCTTTTAAACATATCCAGTAAAAAAAATGTAAAAATCAAATTTCATCATAAATTTTGGACAAAATGTCTCCCGCTCCGTGTCTTCGCTAAAAAAAAATCCCAATAGCGTTTACAAATGGCGGTATATATATATTGTAATTTTTTCTTTTTTACTAGTAATGGCGGCGATCAGCGACTTATAACAGGACTGTGCCGGGCATTCTGACACTGGGGGGGGGGGGGGGGGGGGGGGAACAGACTTGGTGTCACTGACATCCCCAGTGACACCAATACAGTGATCAGTGCTAATAAAAAGCCCTGACACTGTACTAATTGCACTGGGCAGGAAGAGGTTAAAATGTGGGGCGATCAAAGGGTTACCTGTGTGCTGGGAGTGTTTCACTGTACGCATGCTGCTATGCAGAGCCATACAAAGCAGTGTGCTGGAGCTGACAGGGGAGAGGTCTGTTCCATTTACACTCAGGTCTCTCCCCCGTCGGAGATGCTCGGCGATCACAGGGTGCCAGTGGGGAATCACTGGCCGGGACCCTAGTGGTTGACAGCCGAGGCCGCAAATTGCGGCGCAAGTAGGACGTGCGCACACCCCCAACACGGAACTGCGAAGTCACATATATATACACGTGTTTTTGCGCACCCGTGCCACCCTGCAGCGGCGTTTCTTCTATTGGGCGGCGCGGAAGTGGTTAATTTATCATTGACACCCGCACCAGATCGCATGAACGTGATGCGTTTGCAATGCACATTTTCTATGGGACGCGATACTACAAACTCCTCCCACAAATGCCGGCCATTGATTGCACGCAAGATTTGTTCATTTGCGCACACAAAAAAGTACTCTTCCTAACAGATTCATCCCAGACCATGTTGCAAAAATGAACACACCCCGATGAAAGTCTTAGGAGCAAAGCTACATTTTAGACCACAAAATCCTAATGAAGAATTGAGCTCCAGGTGAGTCTCATTATTCATTAACCCCTCGCCTACCGGGCACTTCTACCCCCTTCCTGCCTACCGGGCACTTCTACCCCCTTCCTGCCTACCGGGCACTTCTACCCCCTTCCTGCCTACCAGGCACTTCTACCCCCTTCCTGCCTACCGGGCACTTCTACCCCCTTCCTGCCTACCGGACACTTCTACTCCCTTCCTGCCCACCGGGCACTTCTACCCCCTTCCTGCCTACCGGACACTTCTACCCCCTTCCTGCCTACCGGGCACTTCTACCCCCTTCCTGCCTACCGGGCACTTCTACCCCCTTCCTTACCAGGCCAATTTTCAGCTTTCAGCGCTGCCACACTTTGATTGACAATTGCGCGGTCATGCAACATTGTACCCATATGAAATTTTGATCATTTTTTTTCTCACAAATAGAGCTTTCTTTTGGTGGTATTTAATCGCCACTGGGCGCTTTACTTTTTGCGCTATAAATTAAAAAAAGTGCAAAAAATTTGAAAAAAAAAAAAAAAAAGTTTATTTGTTTCTTTTATAAAATTTTTCAAACAGGTATTTTTTTCTCCTTCACTGATTTGCGTTGATGAGGCGGCACTGATGGGCACTGATAGGCGGCACTGATGGGCACTGATAGGCAGCACTAAAGGGCACTGATAGGCAGTACTAATGAGGTGGCACGGATAGGCGGCACTGATATGCAGCACTGATAGGTGACACTGATGATGGATACTGATAGACGGCACTGACTGGCATCACTTCTGGGCACTGACTGGCGGCACTGACTGGCACAACCCCTGGGCACTGACTGGTGGCACTGACTGGCAGCACTGGTGGGTGGCACTGGTGGGTGGCACTGGTGGACAGCACTGGTGGGTGGGCACAGGTGGGTGGCACTGGTGGGCACAGGTGGGTGGCGCTGGTGGGCACAGGTGGGTGGGCACAGGTGGGTGGCACTGCTGGGCACATGTAGGTGGCACTGCTGGGCACAGGTAGGTGGCACTGCAGAGTGGCACAGGTGGGGGCACTGCTGGGCACAGGTGGGGGCACTGCTGGGCACAGGTGGGGGCACTGCTGGGAATGGGTGGGCGGGGCTAGTGGGCGCACAGCTGATCGGAACTTGCGGGGGTCACTGCTGGGCACCGATCATCAGGGCACTGATCATCAGTGCCCTGATGATCGGTGCCGATCCCCGCTCTGACAACTGCCGGTTCTCGGCAGTACTTTCCTCACGATCTGACAGCGTGAGGAAAGTGCAGCCGAGAACCGGCACTTGCATTTTCCTGTGATCAGCGTGTCATTGGACACCGCTGATCACGTGGTAAAAGGCCGGCGATCACGGAGATCGCCGGGTGCGCGCCCCCTGGGGCGCGCAGGAGAGCGCGTTCTGGGAGGACGTCATATGACGTCCACTCAGAACTGGCCGGCCGCGGTGAAGCCGTCATTCGGCTATGCGCGGTCGGCAAGTGGTTAAACAGGCGCCCAGCAGACAGGTGATAATAAAAGGGCGTTACCTAACAAAGAAAACTCCGCCCATTTCATGCTGTCAGCGATGGCACCACATGGAAGAGAAATGTCACAAGGCCTGAGAAAGGAAATAATTTCATTACACAATAAATGTGACGGCTACAAGATGATCAGCAAAGCTTTACTTATCAGTCAGAATACTGCGACAAAAGTGATACAAAGATGGAACTGCAACCATCTCATAGAGACGTCCAGGCCGTCCATGGAAGTGAACACCTCAACAGGAGCGTCTTCTGATGAGAAGGGATAAAGAAAATCGCCATGTGAGGTCACTGCAGTTCGCTGAAGAAGTAGAAGGCCAAACTGGGGCGATTGTTCCCCGTGACACCATATGGCGTACACTGCAGAGGAGTGGCATGCATGGGTGTCATCCACGAAGGAAGCCTCTCCTGGAGCCCATGTGCAGAAAAGCCCGCCTAGAATCTGCCGGGGCCCATGCTGAAAAAGAAGAAGACTACTGGGACTCAGTACTCTGGAGTGATGACACCAAGATAAAGGTTTTTGGAACTGATGGCTTCATAACTGATGGTGTCACAAAGGTGAGGAGTACAAAGACAAATGCATGGTGCCTACTGTGAAACATGGTGGTGTCAGTAACCTTCTGTGGGGCTGCATGAGTGCTGATGGTGCCGGGGAGCCGCATTTCATGGATGGTGTCGTGAATTCACAGATGTACTGCTCTATATTGAAGGAGAAGATGCTCCCGTCACTCCGTGTCCTCGGTCGCCGTGCACTTCTCCAACATGACAACGATCCACACATCTAAGGCCACTGCTGCGTTTCTGAAGAAGAAAAAGTGATTCGGTGGCAAAGTATGTCTCCTGATTTGAACCCGGAGCCAGGCAATTGCAGAAGAGCGGGACATCGAGGGATGCTGTACCTCAACGCGTTTCGCAGTTTGCACTTCTTCAGGGAGCTTTTTAGATGAAGTGGTTGCACCAGTTCAGACTCCGGTATTGCAGAAGAGCGGGACATCGAGGGATGCTGTACTCAACGCGTTTCGTGGGTTGCACTTCTTCAGGGAGCTTTTTAGATGAAGTGGTTGCACCAGTTCAGACTCCGGTATTGCAGAAGATCGGGACATCGAGGGATGCTGTACTTCAACGCGTTTCTGTTTGCACTTCTTCAGGGGAACGTTTAGATGAAGTGGTTGCACCAGTTCAGACTCCGGTATTGCAGAAGAGCGGGACATCGAGGGATGCTGTACTCAACGCGTTTCGCAGTTTGTACTTCTTCAGGGGTACGTTTAGGTGAAGTGGTTGCACCAGTTCAGACTCCGGTATTGCAGAAGATCGGGACATCGAGGGATGCTGTACTTCAACGCGTTTCTGTTTGCACTTCTTCAGGGGACCTTTTAGGTGAGGTGGTTGCACCAGTATTCTCTGTCTGCCTCCAAATTTTGGTATGAAATTCTTACCTCCCCCGCTCGGGATCCACCAACGCGTCTGTCCCTGATCTTCCGAGGATTTGGAACGCTTTGAGACAAGATCATCCTCCAGCTGCTGGGAGGAAACTGGGTCACCTCCGATCCGTTCATATTTCTAACGCCGAATACAAACTACTTCTTTCTTCTTCGGCTTTTGGAGAAGCTGCTCGGTAAAGAGCACCTGTCATCTGTACATGGGGGGGGGGCTTGGTAAAGAGCACCTGTCATCTGTACATGGGGGGGGGGCTTGGTAAAGAGCACCTGTCATCTGTACATGGGGGGGGGGGCTTGGTAAAGAGCACCTGTCATCTGTACATGGGGGGGGAGAACTTGGTAAAGAGCACCTGTCATCTGTACATGGGGGGGGGAGGACTTGGTAAAGAGCACCTGTCATCTGTACATGGAGAACTTGGTAAAGAGTACCTGTCATCTGTACATGGGGAGAACTTGGTAAAGAGCACCTGTCACCTGTACATGGAGAACTTGGTAAAGAGCACCTGTCATCTGTACATGGGGGGGGGGGGGGCTTGGTAAAGAGCACCTGTCATCTGTACATGGGGGGGGGGGGCTTGGTAAAGAGCACCTGTCATCTGTACATGGGGGGGGGCTTGGTAAAGAGCACCTGTCATCTGTACATGGGGGGGGGAGCTTGGTAAAGAGCACCTGTCATCTGTACATGGGGGGGGGAGAACTTGGTAAAGAGCACCTGTCATCTGTACATGGAGAACTTGGTAAAGAGTACCTGTCATCTGTACATGGAGAACTTGGTAAAGAGCACCTGCCATCTGTACATGGAGGGAGAACTTGGTAAAGAGCACCTGTCATCTGTAAATGGAGAACGTGGTAAAGAGCAGCACCTGTCATCTGTACATGGAGGGAGAACTTGGTAAAGAGCACCTGTCATCTGTACATGGAGGGAGAACTTGGTAAAGAGCACCTGTCATCTGTACATGGAGGGAGAACTTGGTAAAGAGCACCTGTCATCTGTACATGGAGAACTTGGTAAAGAGCACCTGTCATCTGTACATGGAGAACTTGGTAAAGAGCACCTGCCATCTGTACATGGAGGGAGAACTTGGTAAAGAGCACCTGTCATCTGTACATGGAGGGAGAACTTGGTAAAGAGCACCTGTCATCTGTACATGGAGGGAGAACTTGGTAAAGAGCACCTGTCATCTGTACATGGGGGGAGAACTTGGTAAAGAGCACCTGTCATCTGTACATGGAGGGAGAACTTGGTAAAGAGCACCTGTCATCTGTACATGGAGGGAGAACTTGGTAAAGAGCACCTGTCATCTGTACATGGAGGGAGAACTTGGTAAAGAGCACCTGTCATCTGTACATGGAGGGAGAACTTGGTAAAGAGCACCTGTCATCTGTACATGGAGGGAGAACTTGGTAAAGAGCACCTGTCATCTGTACATGGAGGGAGAACTTGGTAAAGAGCACCTGTCATCTGTACATGGAGGGAGAACTTGGTAAAGAGCACCTGTCATCTGTACATGGAGGGAGAACTTGGTAAAGAGCACC